TTCTGGTACCTCTAGTCTGCCCTGATCATCAAAGCCCTCAAGGAGGCACCAAGAGAGAGAAAGAAGCAGAAAAACATTAAGCACAGTGGAAATATCACTTCTGATGAGACTGTCAACACGGCCCAACAGATGCAGCACTGATCTTTAGCAAGAACTTTTTGGAACTATTAAAGAGATCCTTGGGATTACACAGTCTTTGGGCTGCAATATGGATGGCTGTCACCCTCATGACATCATAGATGACATCAACAGTGGTGCAGTGAAATGCCCAGCTAGTTAACAAGAGAAACTATTTCAACAAAAGATGATCTGATCAAAAAAAAAAAAAAAAAAGTCAAATTGACCAAGAAATTCTCTATAGATTATGAAACAATGGTAAACAATGGTAAATAGACACATATACATATGTAAAGCAGAAAACTACTTGAGAGTATGAACATAAGGGATCTAATATCAATTCAATTCAAAAGTGCTTCATGACTCAAAAAGAAGTAAGGCATTTAATTTTTCAACGTAACTATGAAAACAATACATAGCTCGTTAAAATACAGATACTTACCCCGTATCTTTCAGCCACAATATCCTCAACATTTTTATCTTCTTTCTCAGCTTGTTCTTTCATTCTTTGATAAGACTTTCTTAGCCAGCTTAATCCACCATCTTCTACTCCTGAAGCTTAATTCCAATAATGAACATTAATTATATTTCTTATGTGGTTATCATACAATTAGTATTTATTGCTTCTATTACTTCTGAAGTATAAAATTAAATATTTTCCTTAAATATTTAAAAATAATCACAATTAAAAATTCAACTTATATTTAAATACCTACCAATGCAAGCTATAAATGATGAAGAAAAAAAGAGATAAAACTATCCTTGGGGCTGGAGAGATGGCTCAGCGGTTAAGAACACTGGTTGTTCTTGAAGAAGACCCAGGTTCGAATCCCAGCACCCACATGGCAGCTAACAGCTGTCCATAACTAATTTAAGAGAACAAGAATAAAAGATATAATACAAAAATAAATAAAAGGTGACCGAAAATTAGAAAAGTTGAGGATTATGTTTAAATGGAAGGTCAGAGAAAATTCCACAGAGTGAGCTCAAGAGAATGAGTTGGATATGGCATTCCCAGAAATTAGGAGCAAAGGTGCATGTAGGAAAAAAGCCTACCTGAGCACAAAGAATAGGAAAGTTACAGGAGACAATGCCAACACGTGTCATAAAACAAATTATCCGCTTTATCATGATTAACAGTTATGCACACTTGAAAGCCTTCAATAAACTTTATTAACCTGTCTATATTTCCGTGTGTACAGACACGTGTGTGTGTGTGTGTGTGTGTGTGTGTGTGTGTAGATATCATACTTTGGGTCTCTATAAGGAATTTTAATTACTTCTATCAACGTCCTATTCTTCATTTTCCTTACTCCAAAGTAAGGCTGTTTCATATCCTTCCAGCTCCAGAGCCCATAAACACACAGGGAGAGCCCTAAAGACAGGCTCAAGAATGTTTACAGCAGAAGAGCTAACATTAACTCAAACATGGAAGTGCCCCCCATTGGAGAAGGGACACCCAGATTATGCTACATCCCTAAACAGACTAATACACAGCAAAGGGAATGGATGAACCACAGCTATTCACAATACCAACACCGGCGATGAAAGCAGGGCAATAGCCACCTTTCGACAGCAGACAGGTTCTAGAAGGGAGCAAAGGGTGCTAACACTGTTGCTCCTCCAACTGTGTGCTGCCTCTCCATTTCACTCTGTGAAAATGATTAGTCTGCTCTACACTTGGGTTTTAAGCACTTTCTATGTATTTTAGACTTTAAAAAAAAAAAAAGTTTAAGGAAGGGACAAAACAAAAATAAAACATCTTTTAATCTTCAAATCAATTCTATTCAAATCAATGCTATTCTTCTATTCAAATCTCATGTTTATTTTAACTAAGCTATCTCTTCTAAAATAATGTGGCCTTTATTGACCGACCAATCTAAAATATTTTGTTTTGAATCCAAATCTCTAATTAATTATACCACTTCTCATTCAAAAGTTTATTTTATTTTTGCACTTTTTTATTTATAAAAAAAAGACTGTAAGCTCAAAATTAAATAGTGTAACCACTCAAGGAACTTAGCCTAAATCTACAACCAACACAGTGATAAGTAAAAGGACACATAGTAATTACTATCTTTATTAATGTCTCACCTACATAATTAAATCATTTACTTCATAGAATGATCTGTAAACATTAATAAAATATTGCTGGGCATAATAAAAATTCTCTCAACAAACAATTACACAGCTCGGAGAAAACCATGTGAGACCAGAAATAAGACTGCTTCTACTTCCTCCACTTGCTGTCATTTACAAAAGCAATTTAACAGTAATAAAAATTTCAACTAATTCAATAAAGCTTAGATCTCAGCAGACAACCAAAGTACCTGTTCTGGCCTCCCTCTGGCATAGGGGCTGAGAACTCAGGGGACAGGCCTGAGAGCACCTGGATCCTGCCCCAACATGGTGAAGTCTTTGAGAGGGAACTGACACTGATTCTAGCCACTCCAACAGCTATCGTAATTCGATAAAGCTTAGATCTCAGCAGACAACCAGAGTACCTGTTCTGGCCTCCCTCTGGCATAGGGGCTGAGAACTCAGGGGACAGGCCTGAGAGCACCTGGATCCTGCCCCAACATGGTGAAGTCTTTGAGAGGGAACTGACACTGATTCTAGCCACTCCAACAGCTATCTGCCTGGATCCACAGCTATCAAAGTGCCTGAAAACAAATCCTGAGTCCATCACTCTTGAGTCCAGCCTTGGCAGACAAAAGAAAAAAGAGGAAAAATCCAATACAGGGATGATTTTGGGAGCTCTCATCAAGAAATCCCAATGGACTTTGATATGAACATTTGAAATTTGCCGTTCTTTTTTCTGGCTCTCCGTCTACTCTCGCCTTTACTTCTCCCTCACATTCCCCATTCACCAGTCAAGTACTTTCTTTTCTCCCTACAGATAAGAGTTATGCAATGTGGGAGTCTTTTAGATAGACCCATTGAAGGGGTACTCCAGTTGCCTCACCCTGAGGCCCTGTTCAGCA